GAAATTGTGTTTCCGCAAAAACTGGACTCAAACTCTATCCATAAAGTCCTGAGCTTTGGGACCTATTGAGTAATCACTAAATGTCTGTAGTCAGCCGAGTCTCTTAAATCTTTGAGCACACATACACAAAAACTGCTTTACCTAGAGTCCCTGGCTTCTTTTGAGTTCAAAAGATTTTCATGTGTTAGCATACAATTCAAAAGTAGCTTTGAAGATTAATCTTGCTCAAACAAATTTCATGCTTTTTTTCTCATTATTCTACTTTGTAGAAGTCTACTTTTGAAAGTAAAGTCAGTTTTAATTTGCCGTCAGCAAGTTTGAGAAATAATCATTTGGTATATTAACTATTGGTGAAATAAAGGTTTATTGAGCAAATTAATAGGGCAAATTGGCTTCAAGAAAAACTTTTGAAAAGTGTTTATGATGAGTCAGTAGTGCAGTGTTGTCAGTGGGATAGGTGGAACTCACTGAGATCACTTATGCAAGGTTTTTTTTTTTTTTCAAAATACATGTCTGCAAACACATGTATCTTCCCATCTCCACTTTCACTCTCTCTCTAGGCACTGAGAAGCCTTTTAGGAAAATGGGATGGATGTGAGGCATCTTTATGTGAAGAAAGGCATCCCAGAAGATTCTGGGATTTTCACCCCAGCTCAATCATTCCAAACTTTGCTACACATTGAAATCACCTGGGAAACTTTTACCAACGACCTGGATGACCAAAGTCATATCCAACACTAATTACATTAAAATGTCTCATGTTGAAGATGAGTCAGTTATTAAAGCATCTCAGGTGATTTTAACTTGCAGCAAAGTTTGAGAGCCACGGCTTCATTTGAGTTTAGGACGAGAAACTGCTCCTATTTGGTGGGACCTTGGGCAAGTCAGTTTTAAGGTTTGTTTCCCTGATCTGTAAAATGAGTGTTGAATTAAATGTCATGTAAGGTCATTGGTCCTTTCTAGCATGTAACTTTAAATTCCGTGATTGTGAAATTATTTCAGAGATGAAAACTACTTGAAGCACTATAGACATATCCATCTTACATGCTAATGTTTCAGGCGTTTTAACAAGTGCTAATATTGTGTAGACCTATTACTAAAATTGAGATTTTTCCTTCCCCCAGTTGTTCTGAGCCTCATTCTACAAAATTAGCTGGACGTGGTTGCACATGGCTGTAATCCCAAATACTCGGGAAGCTGAGGCAGGAGAATTGCTTGAACCTGGGAGGAAGAGGTTGTGGTGAGCCCAGATCAGCACCATTGCACTCCAGCCTGGGCAACAAGAGCAAAACTCTATTTCAAAAAAAAAAAAATTACCTAGGCATAGTGGTGCAAATGTGTAATCCCAGCTACTTGGGAGGCTGAGGCATGCTTGAACCTGGGAGATGGAGGTTGTGGTGAGCCAAGATCGCACCACTGCACTCCAATCTGAGCAACAGAGCGAGACTCTAAGTCAAAAATAAATAACTACATAAAATAAATCACATGGGACGAAAGGCTTTGCAGGTAGAAGAGCATATAACAGGGAAATCTGTTATTATTTATATATTATAATCGTCAACAGAAATGTGTCTTCTAACAGCATATTGCCTCGCATTTTTGTTCTCATATTTTTGCAAAAAACCAAGAAATGAAACAAAGTGCCCTCATGGTGCTGTTCTGAACTAGAAAATTTGAATTTCAGGGCCGCTAGGAGAGTTTCCTCTGCCCCCGTTTTAAAAAGTGTCTTCAGGCCTAACAAATGATAACATCTATTGTTATGAATTGTTTTTCCTTCCACAGAGTGACCTTGGAGATACATCATGATATCACGCAAAGGTGAGCTTTTTAGAAACCTGTCTTGTTATTCTAGCTAATTACTTTGCAAGATACCAAGCTCAGTGTTAGGTCACAGCTCTAGACGTCATAAGCTGTATTGTGCCTGCTAAAATATCGAAGCAAATTATTTGTGTTTTCTTTGTTCCTTAAGACTCTTTTAATTCTTAAATGATTGAGAATCTCCAAGAGTGTTTATATTGATTATATTGATATTTATTGTGGTAGAAATATAACAGAGTTTTTTTTTTTCAAAATCTATTTTTAGTTTAGATTTCACAGTCTTACCACTGTTGATATTATGAGCTAGATAACGCTTTGTTGTGAGGACTGTCCTGTGCATTGCAGAGAGTTTAGTAACATTCATGGCCGCTACCGACTAGATGTCAGTATTAACCCATGGCCCAGGTTGTGACAACAGAAAATATTCCTAGAGAACAATATTGTTAGAAATTTTTCATCGAAAAAGTAACTTTTCTACAACAAAAAGTGGAGTAAAAAGTGTGTCATGTATTTATATTATTTAAAGTTTCATGTTGACCTTCATAGGAGACAACTGGATTCTCTAGATCTTTCTTTGCAATTTGTTCTAAAGAAGCAATAAGAGACCGGGCGGGGTGGCTCAGGCCTGTAATCCCAGCACTTTGGGAGGCCGACGCGGGCGGATCGCAAGGTCAGGAAATCGAGACCATCCTGGCTACCCTGTCTCTTATACACATCTAGATGTGTATAAGAGACAGGCCTTGTAGTATAGTTTGAAGTCAGGTAGCGTGATGCCTCCAGGTTTGTTCTTTTGGCTTAGGATTGTCTTGGCAATGTGGGGTCTTCTTTGGTTCCATGCAAACTTTAAAGCAGTTTTTTCCAATTCTGGGAAGAAACACATTGGTAGCTTAATGGGGATGGCATTGAATCTATAAATTACCTTGGACAGTATGGCCATTTTCACGATATTGATTCTTTCTATCCATGAACAAGGTGTGTTCTTTCATTTGTTTGTGTCCTCTTTTATTTCACTGAGCAGTGGTTTGTAGTTCTCCTTGAAGAGGTCCTTTACATCCCTTGTAAATTTGGTTCCTAGGTATTTTATTCTCTTTGAAGCTATTGTGAATGGGAGTTCATGATTTGACTCTCTATTACTGGTGTATAAGAATGCTTGTGATTTTTGCACATTGATTTTTTATCCTGAGACTTTACTGAAGGTGTTTATCAGCTTAAGGAGATTTTGGGCTGAGATGATGGGGTTTTCTAAATATACAATCATGTCATCTGCAAAGAGGGACAATATGACTTCTTCTTTTCCTAACTGAATACTTTATTTCTCTTGCCTTATTGCCCTAGCCAGAACTTCCAACACTATGTTGAATAGGAGTGGTGAGAGAGGGCATCCCTGTCTTGTGCCAGTTTCAAAGGGAATGCTTCCAGTTTTTGCCCATTCAGTATGATATTGGCTGTGGGTTTGTCATAAATAGCTCTTATTATTTTGAGATATGTTCCATCAATACCGAATTTATTGGGAGTTTTTAGCATGAAGGGCTTTTGAATTTTGTCAAAGGCCTTTTCTGCATCTATTGAGATAATCATGTGTTTTTTTCCTTTGGTTCTGTTTATATGCTGGATTATGTTTATTAATTGCCATATGTTGAACCAGCCTTGTATCCCAGGGATGAAGCCCACTTGATCATGGTGGGTAAGCTTTTTGATGTGCTACTGGATTCGGTTTGCCAGTATTTTATTGAGGATTTTTACATCGATGTTCATCAACGATATTGGTCTAAAATTCTCTTTTTTTGTTGTGTCTCTG